AGCTCCAATTGCCACGGAATAGTCACTCTTTTCAATCCCTTCCAAATTCCTGCCACCCTTCTCCTTCATGATCAACCTTTTCTCAGAACATACACGGCAAGAAACCACAATCGTTATTAAATCACAGATTGCTCTTCTCTCATAGTAAGTCTTTAGCCTTCAGCCACTTCAAAGCCATCACTCACATGCCACCTCGTAGATGCGTCTCCCATCAAACCTCTCAGCCACCACCCTTATAGCCGTCGCCAGCCTCGCCCAAGCCCAAAATTGTGTCGAGAACGGTCCCACAGGCGACGCCATCACCGGCTTCAGGTTCTCGGGGACATGCGAATCCTGGCAGTGGTTCTCGCGCGATAAAGGCACGCAGGTCAAACTTCAGCCGGACTGCTTCCTGCGGCAGACGTTCCCCAACGCCACGCCCGTGGGCCACGTGTGTATTCAGCTCGAGAGCGGAGGCCACAAGTGCTTCTCGGCGCCGGGGGCGGGGGCGCCGCAGTGTAGGGTGCCGGACGACTTTTGTTCGGGGATTCAGAACATGTGGGGATGGTAAGACGGCCATTGTCACGCAGTATTGCTATTTTTGCTCGTTTAAAACTAGCTGCAGCGATTTTATAGGGGCCGAAACGGTGTTGTGAGTTGTGACTACCTAGAAAGTTTTTCTATTCGGGAGGTGGTACCACCTAGCTTCGATACCAGCCGATCAGAGCGGGTCTTCCGGTGCATACTTGTCCGGCGTCCACTTAGGTGCGACCGGCAGTTGCTGATATAGATTGCCAAATACGAACATATACAATGGACTAATCCTGTATTCCTAACTGTTAACACGTGCAGTCATCGTGTAAAAGCCCCAATTCGACTGAACACAACGGCAGCTTTCTCCCTCATCTAACGTGGTCTGGGTTGACTGTCATCAATTTCACTTTCTATTCTACCGTCAAATTCATACTGAAATTGCCGTGCTTAACGAGCCGTTCATTCCCTGCATTGCCCAGATTTTGGGTGGAAGCATTCCCGGCCCGCTGACGTGCCCAGGACATAGTAACCCAGAGTCCAGATCCATGCCATTATTGGCACAAGTAAACACAGAGATCGGTCTCGGGCGGATTCGTGTTGTGCTCGAAGAACATCTCACTAACCCAACCTCGATGGTAGGTCTTGTGGTTGATAACATGAAGGAACATGCCACCCAAAGTCATCTCTGCAGGTGTGCCGTTGACGTAATTGAACTTGGATCGCTTGCTGAAGCTTTCCTCATCTTGCCTGGTCGCCCAATCGATGTACCACTGGTTGACCTCAAACTGCTTTTCGACCAACTCCTCAAATTTCGGGTATAACAGATCACGGCGGGTCGAGAAGCCGTGGTCCTCTTCGAGTAGATGTGCACGCCAGATCAGGTCGACCTGATGATTGTGGTTGAGTGTGCCCATCATGGACTTGAAAAGAGTTGTGCGCGGCTGATAGACCGCCCCAGACGGCAGCTGTTTTTGAATCGCTGCGAAAAGTACTTGGTCGGCCCAGTTGTTATACTTGGCAAGCATAACAGCCGTCTCCCTTGTGAGCATGGTGCGTGTTGGTCTGTTGTGAGATTCGCAGCAAGATTGGCAGGCAACGAATTGAATATCGAGGGTGTTTAATGTGATCTTGACTTCCGTGTAGGGGCAGTGTAGTTATATAACGCTAGATCTCACGATAATATTCAGCCGACAAACTTGTGAACGATACAAATTGGATTGCCTTTAGCGTTTGCTCGTTTTCCATCTTTCAACTGCTCCTCTTCTTTGCTTTGTCATCCTCCCTTGGACTTACCCCTCTAATGACATGAAGACTCATGGCGCCTGAATGTATACTTTGCATGGATGGATTGATAAGCATGACGTGGAAATCGCTCATGTGCCGGCGGGAGGCGTCTTTTTTTGCTGGTTCGTCGGTCTCCAATCTGTTTGCTGAAAGGGCCGCCGGCTTGACTATGGTGGCTTGTTACGCCTCGGCAGCCGCCGGCCAATTCGATCACAAGGTATATAAAGCGGAACCACTTGTGTATCAGCGGCTTCAGTCCTATCGAACGATCAGTACGTTTGAGACTTGGTCAATTTCAGGTCTCAGCCCTCCATCTTAGAGACAACTCAACATAAGTGACACGGTACAGGACCCCTTATAGGCCCTGGGATATAATTTGGCTTGATAGTTTCAAACGAGTAAGACAGTCTTGCAATTGCATACTAACGAATGCTAGTTTAACAACCCACGTATCATGATTTCAATCGAAGACTCTGACAGAATAGCGACAACGGCGGCAGATTATCACATCTCTGCTCGCGGCGCTGAAGGGTTGCTTTTACGCGATGTTTGGGGCCCCCGAGAGAAGTCCATGGGCAACCCGTGGACTCCAGAAAACCCCAATGGGACGCAAGTAGCCATGCATCACATTCCTTTCGTCAAAACTTACACTACTTAGTGTCATCCTCCGCCTAGCCGAGAATAGTCTGATGCACAATGAGATCGCGGATTTCATTAAACAAGAGGTAAAACCTGAACCTTGCCAGGATGATTCATCTCTGAGATCGAAACGTATAGGTCACCGTTCTTCCAGTGAATCACTTGACTTACAGCACTGGACCACGAGGATCGCACCGCCTACGCCTTGCAGCCGCGAACTTCCTAACAGACGAATTCAAGCCCCGAAGATCTCTTGGTATTGACAACATTTTCATCACCCCAGGCCTGGCTAGTGCTATTGATGCACTGGCTTGGACTTTCTGCGATGAAGGAGATGCTATATTGATTCCACAGCCATTGTATAACGGATTCATAGTCGACGCCTTGAACCGTAGTAACGTTCAGGTGATTGGTGTTTCCTACACTGGAGTTGAAGGATACACGACCCTTGACGATTTGTTCGACCCTGAAGTCAACAGGAAAGCCATAGCCAGGGCGCTTGACAGAGCCAAAATCAACGGCATTAAAGTCAAGGCTTTGATTATTTCCAAGTCAGTTGTCTATCCTAAATTCCTCTGAGTGCAGGAGGACGAGAAAATACTCACCAACCCGTAGCCCCCACAACCCTCTAGGAAGATGCTATGTTTGTTCTCCTCAGTCCAAACTCTCTCAGGCACTAATTGCAATAGCCACCCGAGACTTTGAAAGTATTTGCCCGGGCATGTGGCAAGAACGACCTACACTTCATCTCTGATGAGATCTATGCCAAGTCAACATTTCCAAATCCGGCCATTCCCGACGCTGTCCCTTTCCTATCAACACTCTCTCTTGACTTTAGCGGAATTCTCGACTCAACTCGCCACCATATCCTCTACGGCGCTAGCAAGGACTTCTGCGCCAATGGCTTACGTCTTGGACTTGTATGTACCAGGAACGAGGGGGCTATGGGAGCGCTATCTAGTATCAGGTACGTATGCCCGCCAGACCTGACTGAGATGAATCACCTAAGTAAGATTATAGTATCTTCTCGTGGTCACCGCACCTCATCCAGGATGTGTGGGCCGCTATGCTGGAAAACAAATCCTGGCTCGCTGCGTTTACGGCAGAGAAAGCAGAGCGCATGGTCGTCAACCACCGTATCACAACCTCGTTTTTGCGCGAGCATGATATTCGGTACTTCGACACGTAAGTGTGGCAGTTGAGATACTTCGGAATCGCTAGACTAATCATTCTGTGTGAAGAAATGCTGGACTCTTTATTTGGGTAGACCTTAGACATATGATCACGTCGCCAAAGGACCCGCAGCATCAACTCATGCTTGACTCCTCGGACATTGAATCTACTTTGGAAAAGACCTGCAAACAGCGCGAGGTACAAATCGCCGATATCTGCATGAAGCATGGAGTTTTGGTTGCACCAGGTCACGTGTATGTGGCGGAGGAATATGGGTGGTTTCGGCTAACGTTCACAGTCGGCAAAGATGCTTTGCAAGAAGGTCTGAATCGCTTTTTGGAGGCATTGAAAGAGGCAGAAGCATATACGCCGCAGGCCTGAATTACCATTATCATTCAAATCGTCCCTATCATTACAGGTTTTGTGAGGTAGAATGGCGTAAAAGCGAGGTAATGCAACGAAACAACTGTCACTGAAACAACTGCACCTGGTTCCTTCAGCTTTTTCTTCCTCACCGTTACTCAAGACATCTAGCCGGAATCGGCTGACATCGGTGCATGGGTACCTAGCAGTTCTTAGCTGACATTGGCCCAACTTAAGCCGGGCCGGACCGACAGAGACCTTCTTTGGTCATGCCAGTCCATGTTTCCCAGGAGTGAAGTAGCGTGCTACCTCCAACCGTCTAGTGTCAAATACCTCATGGTTTCTACTATTGTACCGCATCGTGTGATTTCCTTGAAGCTAAGTCTTGTTAAGGTTGATCTCTTGCGCCTGGAGAGCCGCATTAAACCACTAAGTCAATCATTGCCACTGCATTGTATGCGAGACCGAGCACTTCAAGGGCCATTTCCGAGATCGTGGCAGTCGAATGAAACGGTCTCTAGATCGGAGCATCGTTGAAACCTGATGACGGGGCATGGTCACCTCTGGGAAAACTTTCTTGGCAAACGATCCCCATCGACGGTACAGGTTGTTGGGGAATCATTATGGGTTCGTGCCCTGGGGATGGCTACAGGTTTCAGTGATATTGGATCCTGTGGACCTCTAGGCATGACTAGTGAGATGGATCTAGAGAGCACTCCGTGGTAGAGCCGGTGGGAGGTCTACATACACGACACGATCAACACCAATCATTCCCCGGCCCCGGTGGGTTTTGACAAGGTCGTGATGATCCCGGGGCGGCAGGGCGGGTCTGGCGGACGGAGATGAACAACTCCCCGTCCGGACCGTAGGGTCGTTAAGTGTCCGTTTGCGGCAATAAGATTCAACTCGCGACCTCTTGGTCGCATTACGGAGTATCACATGGAGAGTCTGCCGTCTTCCGATACAACAACTTTGATCTTCCGATACCATCGAGACCAAGTCTTACGCTAAGCCTTACGCGCTTAACCATGACCTTCAAGATCGTCATTGTCGGCGGTAGCGTCGCTGGCTTGGCGCTCGCCAACATGCTCGAGAAGTTCAACATTGACTATGTTGTTCTCGAAGCCTATCCTGAGATTGCCCCCCAGGTTGGAGCCAGTATTAGACTATTGCCCAATGGCTTGCGGATTCTCGATCAGCTCGGTTGTTACGAAGCGTACCGTGCCAAAGCTGAGGACCAAGTATACCAACACGCCTACCTCAGGCGAGAGAATGGTGAAATCTTCAGCTACCAACATGATTTGATGGACATGTGGGAGAAAATGTAAGTGGCTTGTGGAGTTTTGCGAATCACAATTGACATTAGAACAGGTTAGGATATCCAATGATCTTCATCGACAGGCAGATGCTTATTCAAGTTCTGTACGAGAACTTGAAACACAAGGATAGAGTGCTCACTTCTCAACGAGTTGTGTCCGTGGAATTTACCGAATCTGGTGCTCTTGTCACCACCAAAGACAACAAGGTCTTCAGCGGGGACATTGTCGTCGGAGCTGATGGAATCCACAGCACGGTAAGGAAGGAGATGTGGCGACAAGCGCCGACCGGATACTTCCCCCTGGATGAGGAATCCAAGGTCCCTGCCTCCACTCTGTGTGTCTTTGGCATCTCTCATAGGCCCAAGGCATACCCCGGAGCCAGTCAGCACAACACGATGTCGCCTGGTCATAGCTACTTTGTAATGGCTGCGCCGGGAGACCGCGTGTACTGGTTTTTGTTCATGGAGTTGGAGACTCTCTATGGCAGAGATATCCCGAGGTATGTTACCACTTGCAAGTCTAGAAGACTGGAATTGATCTCCTTCCACAGGTATACCAAGGCCGACGAGGAGCGTATTATCAAGCAGCACTGGGACGACCAGATTCTGGAAAACATGACACTTGGTGACCTTTACGAGAAACGTATTGCTACGACGCTGGCGCCGCTTCAAACCTATGTCTTTGAGAAATGGCACTATAGGAGAGCCATCACCATCGGAGATTCTGCACACAAGGTCGGTACCCAACGCGTGAATGCTACTGAGGGAAAGTGCGTCAACAGGACAGTTGCTGATTGACGTTATCGAATAGGTCGATCCCGTGACGGGTCAAGGCGGTAATGGAGCAATCGAATCAGCTGCACATCTGGTCAACGCCTTGTTGCGCAACCTTGACCAGACCCCCGGTGGTCTTAGTGAGAAGCAGTTGGAGAGCATCTTTGCTGAGGTGCAAGAAAAGCGCTTTGTAAGTGACAAGTCATACTCATTGAAGACTTGAGGTCTCGCGACGAACTCGGAGGCTGATCTTGGCCGTTCATTTGGATAGGAACGTGCTCAACACATTGTCAAGCAAGGCTACTGGCTCCAGGATGCCTTCACGCTACGAACCAGAATGGGTAAGATGATTGCGCGTTACTTAATGCCTTTGCTGGGCTCCTTCGGAGTCGTCTACCGAGGCGTCGAGTTCTGCGCCCCCGCAACGAAGCTGGAGAGACTAGAAGTGCCTCATCGTCCTAGAGCGGTGTTGTTCGAGGATGAGTTGCCAGCGAAGCCACTCAAGGGCTTGGGCAGTCTGAACAAGCTCTTCTCTGTCACATTCATGTGTATACTCTGTGCCATCGCGGCAGGGGTGTTGCGTCTGCCTAGGAGCTTGGAGACGCTGGTCGACGTCCTGTGCTCTTCCACCCATGGAGATGCGTCGATGCTGCCGGCTATCGAGTTCATGACCAACACTGCAGCGCTCATTGCTCTCGCCTTGGCTGATTTGAACCGCGTGGGAAACCAGCTGACATCTGTGACCTTGTAAGTTGATCCCCAACTATCACAGCCGATGTATTCGGGCAGACTCCCCCAAGAGCAGACTAACGCGGAGGCACTGCAACCCAGAATCGTAATCTTTACCATCTTCAACAACACGCTCGGCCCAGGTGGTTTTGCCCCAATTTCTTGTGTCTTTGCTCATTGGTCTTGCAACACCATTGTCGGCAGACACGTTCCCCTCGAGAACGCCAAGAGGGTGTTGCCCATCACGGCCGCGGGATATCTCCTACCCGCAGCCGTCGCGCTGTATCGCCAGGACGCAAACTCAATCAACGTCTGGCGCAATGCGCCAATACTGTGCTTCTTGTTGGCTAGGAGTCTCTCTGTGTTTGGACTACAATCTGGATCTCAGCAACCTGAGAACGAAGAGACCAAGTTACAGAGCACGAGAGAAAAGTACCAAAACATGTTCGCCAAGGCAGATCTCCCGGTTCTTGGCCTTGTCTACTACACGACTCTGGCAATCTCTGCAGCCATCCATCTCACCAATGTTGCTCTCTTCGGTTTGAAGTACAGCTTGTTTGGTGGTGAGAACGCGGCCTTGATGGCTCTGGGTCTATCGAAGCTGGATACTCTGATCTTCACGTTCTGTTCGCTGCTACTTGCCCTCGGCACGGCGCCGTGGAGTCTGCGACTTTGCGGATACATCAACACGAAGCAAGCCTTGACTCAGGCCGCAGCAGTGATTCTGGGATCGGCCGTTGTTGGTCCCGCGGCAACGCTCGCAGGTATTACTGCGTATCGTGAGGGTATTGTCGCAGGTCTGAGCCAGTAGAGACATGTTGGTTGAGGGCAGAGTCAAACATGGCTCCTAACAAAACTTTCCTGGTGGATGCAAACTACCATACCAAGACCCAATCAAGGGCCTTGGGTGCTTGCCTCGAAGCAGCCCTTGTAAATCAGATAGATTCGTTCATGTGTCATTTTTCCACAACAAAACTAGACTCCGTAGTAAACATCCAGCTCTTCTCCTTTCCATCTCAGCCAATTGGTGTAATTCACGGACGACATCCCAAGCGTGTGTTGAGCCATTTACATCAAAATACCTTATGCAGGATGTGTGTCATCATTAGCTTTCACGCCACAACCAACCAAGATTTTCCCCGGGTGCTACGTCCCACCCAAATTTCCCCAACCCCCAGAATGTTTCTCTCTCTTGCTTTGTTTAATGCCAAGAGCAAGCTACCCTTCATCTCCGAAGTTTTTAGGTTGCAATCGGATCATGTTCGCTGCTAGAACAGCCGGGTTGGAAAAGTCGTTTTTGTCGTGCAGGACGTTACACCCACTCTCTCTGACGGTGCAATTAAGCGGCGGAAAACAGGCGGAAAACTCGTGGGGAACTACCCCGCATGTTGATCACTTCCCTGTTGGCTTATGGTTATTGGACTAGCGGTGGATTTTCTCCTCGCTGATCTCTGGGGAACGGCCGATAATTCTGACGAAGCTAAGGTTCGTGGCCTGCTGGGTGAGCGGCGCATCGCGAAGATGACCGGCGAACCCGGAGAGGCTGCATATGCAAGGTGAAAGGAAGATTGTATAAATATCGGGTGTTCTCACCGCGAAACTCTTGATCGCCGTAGAAGGCTTGATAACCATCCTGCTCCGGCATCAAGCTCCTCACAACTCCCTTCGTCCTTGGTCCTCATCCTCATACGGAACGATGGGCTTCTCGTTGAGACGTCTAGCCGTTGCTGCCTCCGCATCAGTCTTCACTGGTCGCGTGTTGGCACAAAATGGCTCAGCCGCAGGTATGAAAGATGCCATGCTAGGAGTCACCATTCGCGAGATTAACATTACAAAGGCATTGTCGTTGATGGCAAGTCTTTTGCCCTCAATGGCGACCATTCCTCATACCGCTTTCATGTGGATGAGTTGACTGGTGACCTATTGTCTGACCACTTTGGAGGGTCGGCTACGGAGAGCATGGAAATGCTCGCCCCGGAAATCAATGGCTGGGTTGACATGATCGGCCGGGTTAGACGAGAGTACCCCGACCTTGGACGTGGAGACTTCCGTGTCCCCGCAGTACAAATTCACCAGTCTGAGGGATACACGGTCAGCGATCTCCAATATCGATCCCACAGAGTCACGGCAGGAAAGCCTGGCTTGCCGGGTCTTCCGGCGACATTTGGAACCGACGATGAGGTCTCTACTCTGGTTGTTTCTCTGTACGACAACTACAGCTCCATTGCCGTCGATCTTTCGTACTCAATCTTCCCCAAGTATGATGCCATTGTCCGAAGCGTCAACATCACCAACGAGGGGGAGGGCAACATCACCATCGCCAAGGCCGCAAGTCTCAGCGTTGACTTGCCATTCGAGGACCTTGAGATGATCGAATTGAGAGGCGACTGGGCTCGCGAAGCCATGAGAGTTCGGAGGAAGGTTGGCTACGGCACGCAGGGGTGAGTGAAGAACGGCCGCTACTGTGCCCGTGAAGGACCCTTGACTGACCTGAATCCCCCATAGCTTCGGAAGCACAACTGGGTACTCATCCCATCTTCACAACCCATTCTTGGCCCTCGTCTCTCCAGACACTACCGAGTCCCAAGGCGAGGCATGGGGATTCTCTCTTGTCTACACAGGCTCGTTCTCCGTTGACGTGGAGAAAGGATCCCAAGGGTTTACCCGTGCCATGCTCGGTTTCAATCCTTACCAGCTCTCGTGGCCTCTTGGACCGGGAGAGACCCTCATTACTCCTGAGGTTGTCGCTGTATATTCGGATGCTGGTGTCGGTGGCGTATCCCGGAAGTTCCACCGGCTCTACCGCAACCACCTCATGAGAGGCCAGTTCGTCGACCAGACTCGTCCAGCATTGCTCAACAGCTGGGAGGGTCTCTACTTTGACTACAACGAGAGCACCGTTTACGATCTGGCACAAGAAGCGGCGCAACTCGGTGTCAAGCTCTTTGTTCTGGACGATGGATGGTTTGGTCAAGAGTACCCCCGACTGAACGACACAGCCGGTTTAGGAGACTGGGAAGTTAACGCGCAGCGTTTCCCCGATGGCCTCCCAGCTCTCGTCAATAAGGTCACCAACCTCGAGGTCACGAACACGACAGATAAGCTTCAGTTCGGCCTCTGGTTTGAGCCAGAGATGGTAAACCCCAACTCTACTCTTTACCATGAGCACCCTGACTGGGCTCTCCATGCCGGCAACTACCCTCGAACAATCAGGAGGAACCAGCTTGTGCTTAACGTGGCGCTCCCAGAGGTGCAGGAGTTCATCATTGACTCCGTCTCCAAAATCCTCTCCAGCGCCCCCATCTCTTACGTCAAGTGGGACAACAACAGAGGCTTCCACGAGACCCCCGTCCCAGGCATCGGCCACTCATACATGTTGGGCATCTACCACGTCTTTGAGGTCCTCACCTCGCGATTCCCAGATGTGCTCTGGGAAGGCTGCGCATCCGGAGGCGGTCGCTTCGACCCTGGCGTCCTTCACTACTTCCCTCAAATCTGGACATCTGACAACACCGACGCCCTGGACCGCATCTCCATTCAGTTTGGAACTTCCCTGGCGTACCCCCTCTCTGCCATGGGTGCCCACGTCTCCGCGGTGCCCAACCATCTCACTGGCCGCACGATTCCAATCAAGTTCCGTGCTCATGTCGCCATGATGGGCGGATCCTTTGGCCTCGAGCTGAATCCAGCCGTGATCTCCGCTGAGGATAAGGTGCAAATCCCCGAGCTGTTGGCCTTGGGCGAAGTGGTCAACCCCATTGTGATTGGAGGTGATCTGTGGCGTCTCAGTCTGCCAGAGGAGTCCAACTGGCCGGCTGCCATGGTCATCTCGGAGGACGGGTCGCAGGGCGTGCTGTTCTACTTCCAGGTGCGCGCGCTATACAACCACGCCCTGCCGCGGCTTAAACTTCAAGGACTGGACCCGACGGCCAAGTACTCTCTGGATAACAACGGCACTTATTCTGGTGCTACGCTGATGAGTACGGGTGTGCAGTACGCCTTTGATGGTGACTACGACAGCCGTGTTGTGCTGATTTCGAAGGTATGATGGAAGTACCGGATGAACTATTGGACGGCAGTCTTGCGAAGATGACTAGAGTGACTTTCGAGCAAAAACCTGAGTGATAGCTAGAATTAATCTTAATCACTTGACTCATCCCTCGGGAACCACGGGCTAATCCTGGGCCCCTCTCCAAGACTTGAGATGGCAACACGTTGCTCATGACTTACCTAGAGCACGCATCGAATAAGCCGCAGACACAACCAATCACTGATGTTAGCCGTGCTACGTATCGATGTTGCTGAAGGAGCACGTGGAATGTTTCTTGCATTCTCTACATATGCCTAGAGTATATGCGTAAGAGATTCAAGGCAGGCCATTCTCATCTAAACCACGGCTTGAAGTTAATGAGTCACATCATACCTGGCCTGAAATCGAGAGATAACACCGGCAATACTCGCTACAACAAGGCGTTAGATCCTGTAATCGAATGCTCTGTTGACACACTCTCACAACTCTACTATCAAGCAGGATCATTAAGAGGTCCATTTAGCCAGGAAAGGCAGACCGACGGACTGCGTCCCTTGGGACAGCTCTCCGACTCTTTCGAGTCACCGATTGAAGCTCGGAATCATCTAGATCAACTTTTGGTCAGGGCTCAGCGGCTACGACGATGTTGCCTAGCGAGTGCGACGAGTCCCAACGTGTCTCAAGCATTCGAAATGCTTGTCATTCAGTCATGTCTGAGTTGAGAATGGCGAGTACTACGAGCCCGTGGGCGTCGGTGGCAATGGCAGTGCTTTCGCGAAGGAAAACAACCTCGCACTTAAGCAGTGGGACTAGACTCGAAAGGAGATTGAAAATGTGGATATTGCACAGTGAGATATGGTCAGATACCTTACGCTGGACCATCGCTTGAGGTGCCGCACAACTAATAAATCCTCATTCATCCGTGGAGTATTCCATTGAAATCTTGGCCATTGAATGATCTAATAGGTACTGAAACTAAGATAGAAAACTCCTCAAAAGAAAGACTTCTCTCCTTCGCTCAGTTGACTTGCATCCACGTCAGTCCTGAGCAGCGTCTCCTCAGCCAACACAGGTGTACTTCCTTCACCAAATAATCTCCACTGCGCGGGGGCCGGGATGCCAAAGTAAACAGCCGAAAGAATACTCCAGGCCCGCAATGGCCTTCCGCTGGTGAAGATGCGTCCAAACAGCTTTCCAAAAGTCGGTGCCGCGCCTAACGGTGCCAGCAAACCATCCATATACTTCACAAACTCCACATTTAAAGCGTGCCTGTCTGAGTCGATCATGTGCTTCTTCCGCCAACCCCTCATCGTGCGGATCTCCCGCATCATCTCCTCCTCGCCGGGCAACTCTACGCTTCCCTTGATGACGGCGGCAATGTACCGTGCCTGCGCCTCGGAGACGGGCGTCACGGGTCCGGCTTGCTCGGTCTGACCCATGACATAGAGGTCTTTCCAAGTGGGCGGTACGATGGACTTGTACAAGTCAACGTGCGGGGCTGGCGCCTCTTTGCTGGCCAGCACGCCTGGTGGGAGATATGGCTGGTCGACGATGTGGTATCCGGTGGCAAGAATGACTACGTCGGCGTCCAGGGAATCGCCATTCTCCAGGATAACACCAGTCTCGGTGAAGGAGGCGATTGTGGTGCGACGAAGGGAGAAAATACCGGTCTGTAGCTTTTCAACGAAGTCGCTTCGGATGGTGGCGTTCTGTGCCATGAGGCCGTGATCTGGCTGAAGCTCCGGTGGCATCTTGCCTTGGGCATGGTTGAGTATCTTCTC